TATAGAATAGTTGAGAGACACGAAGTCAAGAAGTCGAATTGACGAGCAGGCGACCAAGGCTGATAACTCAGGGTGCACAGAAGTACGAAGAATGTAACGAATAACGAAAGACTGAGGATATCGGATTGTGAGAGTATACGATTATAATATGATGTAAATGCTAGATTACGAGATCAAAGATCAAAAGAATGAAAGATTGAGAAGCTGGAGGGTTACTATGTGGCAGCTCCAGCTTCCTTAAGTCTAACTCGAGACAGTACTTGAACTCAACTAAGACTATGAAAAATGCCGTCATGACGCCAGCCCCTCCATCTCTAACTGTAGGAGTTTTCTCGGAAACCTTCTCAGTAAACCTTTTCCCAAAATCTTTCTCAAAACCTTCTCCTATCACATTTTCCTGAGGACCTTCCCCTTGAAACCTCTTCAAGGATGTCTGGCCATAACATCTGCAGTGTTGTTTTCTTCATTTAGGTTATCTCCAGTCTAGGCTCCTTCGATTCCATAGTCATATCCATGAGCCAACTCCTCGAATGGAGTTAGCGATTCGATATCAGTATCGTCAGATTCTTTGGAAACCTCATTATCATGACTGTTAGTTTCCCTCCTGTTTTCGAAAAATTCTGGCTGCCTTTGGTTGGAGGGAAATTGAGATTATGGCGAAGTAATGTGGCCATCTTCATCGAACCGAACATTTGATGAACGTATGACAGTATGGCGAGAAGGGATGTAGATCCGGAGAATATGAGCACCTTCGTATCCTACTAAAATTCCTATTTCAGCTCGTGGATCTAGTTTGTGAGATAATGCCCGTTTCTCCACAGGAATTTGTACATAAACTTTACAGCCTAGCACGCGCAAGTGGGAAAGATCTGGGATCTCGTTATTCCCTAGAGTGAGTCGATTTAGAGCTTGGCATGGTGTTTCGTCTTTTAGGGCAGAGTTGGCAACGCGGTTGGCAACGCAGTTGACGATAAATATCTGCGTTCTAATGATCTCTTGCCAAAGAAATTGAGGAATCTTCTGGTCTATGATAACAGCACGAGTGCGTGAGCCTAAAATTCCAATAGAACGTCCGCTTTGCCCATCTTTCTCGGGATTATAGGGAGTGGTAAGTTCCACTATTTGACCTAACGAGCTTGCCAAGGTTCCCATCTGCTTGGGTGAGTATTCTTTTCCCCCATCTAATCTCCAACGCTTGATTGTGTAGTTGTACTGAGTACGGGAGAGAGCCTCAAATTTCTTAACAGCTTCGAATGCATTCCTTTTTTCTATATGGAATATCCCCCATCTATGACGGGTTGCGGCGTCGGTAAAAACTGTCACGTAATTTATCTGGGACCACGATTCATCAATAAGAATTCGGCCACTGGGCATGATCATGACCACGTCGACAGATATTTGATCAAAAGGAGAAAGGTTTCGAGGAGTCACATTTTTCCGAACGTGTCTTAGAGGTCGAGACAATTCACATGCCTCGCAGAGAATGGTTCTATCCTCACCATGGAGATCGGCTGCTGTGACAGTGTCGTACGCGATGCCTTTGGTAACTTTCTCAGTAATTTTGACGTTCTTTAGACCGAGATTTCCCAGACGGCGATGCCAAAGAGAGAGCGTTAGCTTGGCCTGATGTAAAGCGGCTGGGAACGCAAAAGTCTCGGGGTTTCATTGATGAAAAGTCTATCATCAACGGTAGCAATTTCATTATTTTTTGAATCAAAAATTGAGCCCTGATTTCCGACATACCCCACTTGAGGGTAGAGTTTGCGACTACTGAAGAGATTAATTGGGCAACAGGGTAGGTATAAAACATCTATGAGGCGTATTTTTCGTGTCTTGCCTGAACTGAGCTTGCAATGCAGGGTGACAGTGCCTGTGCCGAGAGGCCGTGTAGGCCCTTTTGCGGTGCCAATCATTGGTAGTGAATCATGCTGTGGTAAAGTGTCAAACAGCTCTATATCTCTGCGAATGTGGCGATTGGCACCAGCGTCGACAATCCAACGAAGAGAATCAGCCGATGACACATAGGCTGATTGTAGAGACACGGGCAGAACAAATGAGTTTATCCTAGAGAAAATTGCAGAGGTGCTCGCTATGCCAGCAAAGCTTGATGGCCTGTCGTCTTCACTATCTCCACCTATGTGAAAGTCGTTTTTCCCCCTCTTACTATTTTGCAAAGCTTTTTTTACTTTGAAATCTACCAATTTCTTTTTGTTCTTCTTTTCCCATAATGAACTTGCGTCCTTATTCTTTGGGTCTTCGAAACATCTTTCAGTCGTATGATGAGCTTGAGGATTACCGCAACATCTGCAGTGATGGAGATTGCCTCTACTTTCACAGTTATTGTGAGATCTACCTTTACCTTTTCCTTTCGCAGATCCAATCATTGCCAAATCTGAATTAGTTCTGCCTTGATCTTCTCTGACCTCGTCGACAAGATCAGCGATGAGAGTGGATAAATTGATATCAGGATTTGATCAGATATTTGATCGCTGTCTCTCAGCCCAAGTTGGATATTGATCCGTTACTGCCATGACAAACATCTTCGGATGCCACTTTCTCACGTCTGTGAGATCAAGAGTGGTTAATTTTTCGCAGGATTTTTAGAAACGATTGATGAACATTTCGAGATTTGGGAAGTTAGAAACTTTTTGTCGAACGTAATTTTGAATGGCTGAGTATTCAAGTACCGTGCCTGACCCTTCGTACTGAGACTTAAGTTTTGCCCACATATCTTTGGCAGTTCTTTCAGTGGCAATAATAGCTATTGAGCCTGGGTTTAAATTGTACTCGATGGCTTGCCTCATCCTCGCTTCATGGGCTACCCATTCTTTCCAAACTTTCAATTTCTGCTGCTCCTCCTTATCTTCAACGTTAATTGAGAATTCTTCCATTCTTGGAGGACCTGCTGGAGCCTTGGGATGATAATATTTATGCAAATCAAATTGATCCGCAATCGACTCGATTGCCCTAACCCATTGAGCATAATTTTCTTCCCCTCTTAACTTCTGCGAGTTTGGTAGGATAAGACTAGTTACCGGGGCTGATGACATCGTGTGTGTAGATAATTTCAACTTGATTTGATGGTCGAGTTGATGACTGATTTGTTCTTCGAGATTTTCTTAACAGTCGTATTCGTCAAAAATGTAGAAGTGACGAACTTAGAGGAAGTTTATCAGGAAGAATTTAGATCGTTTTTTTTTAAAGAATAGAGACAGTTTGGTCTCATAATCTGTCAAATAGAATTCAGTTATATTATATTATGGGATACTAGACGAGATTTCTCTATTTACAAGTGCCAAGACGCTAGCCTTACGCTAGAGGCTTTCATGCTGATTCTTAAGAGTAGCTTTTCGAGATTTTGAAAATTACTCTTTGCGAGGCCTGACTTTATTAAATTGTTCGCGTCGTCTACGAACCCCATCGATTTAGAGTAATTCGTTGAAGTTCGGGGAGTTGCCTATCAACGAATAGTAGGAAAAGAATCAGAGAGAGGGAAGAAGCTTGAGATATTCCAGTACCAGTTGAAGGCTCATCTCTTGAGTAACCGAATATTTATGATATTTTCTATCATCTTCGAATAGTTCTCTTTGCTAAATGATTCGCTTTTCTAATCATTTCACTCCACGTTATGGATGAGCCTTTGATTAAAGAAATTATATGACACCTCGGTTACATTAAGGTGAAGGAGAGAAGCAAGCCTCTTACTCTCATTGGCCTAGATTGTGTATTTTTATTTCGTAAGAAGTTCTTCTATCGAGATACTAGATCTCAATTGCCGTACCTTTATCCGTTCGTCAGGAAGTCAGTGGTAATTTTCTGCTACTCTCGATATCCAGTTGGCTACAGCTTTTCAAGAAGATTTCCCGTAGTGGTTAAGTGTACTATTTTTCAATATGACTTTAGGTTATTACAAGACTCTTTCAGTGGATTTCGTAGCACAGTCAAACCAGCTGACTTAAACCTTTGAAGCAGTTTCCGCTTAAAATGTAAGAATTGAACAGTTATTCTAGGTCTTGGCTGAGAGTGAGTCTACAGTTTTTAAGCATCTAGTTTGTATACCGTCGGAGCCAGAAGCTTTCCTGTGACTCCTTGGGTCTTGCATTCGGTAATAGTACTTGAAAAAGTATCATTTCTCATCTGGATAACCTCTGCCGTTGATTGGGTTTGCTTTAATTTTGATGGAGAGGCATCATAGAAACCTTATTAAGTATTGCCACATGGTGCAGCTGTACATCACACTGGCTGGTTTCTCCAGTAGCATCTTTGATAGCTTAGACGCCTATCTCATTTTAGACAATAGTTCGCTGGTTCAAATCAAACAAGACTCGACTACCCACCTCGCGGTGCTTGTGCGGATGAAAGACGAGTGCATACTTGGATAATCAAAGGTTTTGGAACTTCCCATTGATGAGCACTCACGGAAGAGGATCCAATGTTTGAGTGAGCAAACATACCTCATAGAGGTATTGGGGAATAAAATCTACAGTATGAGTGCCTTTGAAGTCATAAGAATTATCCAACATGTAAACATAGTACTAACCACAGGACATAGTTCGATAGATGAGGACACATTAAATGATTGAAGGGAATTGAGACTGTTCGGTTAACAATTATCCTACCTCAAAAAGAGCAGCGCGAGTGTAGTATAAAAAAGTCCGGAACCCTCTAACCAGAGGACAACAGGCATTGCTTGAATTTTTAACAACTTCAACGGGTATAACCTTATAGAAAAGAGATTAGGTAGGACAAAATCTAATAGGAAGGGAGACTCTGAGATGGAGGATAAGAGTTAACATGAAGATTTCTATTTGGTATAAATATGTGTTAAATAAATTATCATAGCTGGTCAGCTGAATACAATATGATTAATAAATAAACAACTCTAACTAAGACTGGGTAATCTGTCCACACAGAACTTTGAAGATTAGTGGTTGTTGAGACAGTACCGACAAAAAACGGTCACGGTACCGAAGGTGCAAACCCACGCCTAGCGCTGCGACATGCACATCTACTGCTCGCCACCAAGTTTCGGGCGCGGGAGCGCCCAGGTAAAAACTATACATAGAAGCGATCGGGGTGGCGACACCATAAGCCCCTGGAATATAAGCCCTAGCCGCAAGGGGTCGGGTACCACTCAGCGTGTATGCAACAGCATCGAGTGTACAGGTGTATCTCGAGTGTACCTAAAGGAAACCAGTACGGTCGCCCCTGGATCAGCTATTCAGGAGCGCTCAACTAGGGTACTGAGCTGCGATTATAGGAGCAGTGATGCGACTGGCAAGCAGAGGATATACGTGAGCCGCAGAAGCAGCGATGGCCGCTCATGAATCCACGGTTCATGAACGTTGGATTGGTAATGTGATTACTATAGATAGTCAATCACGAGATGGAACTAAGACTATGACATGGGTCATACAGATGTATATAAGATAGCATATATTCATACTTATGACAGTATTGAAATCTGTAGAACACATCCTCTACATACTCCAATCAGATATATCAAGTGACAAGTAACTATGTTCCCATATGACTCATAACCTTAACAGTGGTTCCTCTAGAAGATAATAATCGTCGTCAATCAAGCCACAGAAATCAGCATACAACACTCAAGGCTTACCGACCGATAGCCCTCTTAAACACCATTGGAATAGTCCTTGAGAGAATAATCGCCAAGCGGATCTCAAGCGCCGCCGAAATGCACCATCTTCTTCCAGAAGAGCAGATGGGTGTGCGTCCTAACAGGTCCACGATCTTGGCAGCTGAGCTTTTGACCGAACAGATCTACGACGTCTGGGGAAATGATAAGAAAAAGGTGGCATCCATCCTCAGTCTAGACATCTCTGGAGCTTTTAATAATGTATCCCACTAAAGACCCATTCACAACATGAGGCTAAAAGGGATTCCTCTATAGATAACTAACTTTACTAAGTCATTTCTAGAAGAGAGGTCTATCTCAATACTCCTTGGTTGGTTCAAAGGAGGAAGTATCGACACAAAGACAGGGATACCTCAGGGCTCTCCGCTTTCACCAATTCTCTTCTTATTCTTCGCTTGCACCTTACTCCCTCTACTTTAGACAGAATCGTCATCAGCGATCGGATTTGTGGACGATACCAATCTGATAATATGGTCAAACACAACTGAAGAAAACTGCCGCAAACTGGAGAAACTCCACGGAAAATGTGCTTCATGGGCAACGAAGCATGGGGTTAAATTTGCACCAGAGAAATATCAGTTAATGCATTTCTCGAGGGCCCGGAAACGTCATAATCTGAACGCTGCTATCCAAATACAGAGTCATGAGATTACCCCAAATTGTCTCTTCGGTTTCTTGGAATCCAGTTGGACCCCAAGTTAAACTGGGCATCCCACGTTAAAGGATTGCAACCAAAAGCGGAGTCACAGATGCGGGCATTGAGTCGACTAACTCAGTCAACATGGGGTGCGAATGTCAACAAATCACGACTACTATATTACTCGGTAGTAAGACCAGCGCTTATCTATGGATCCCCTAGCCGGCAAAGACGAACTCTTCACCTTCTAGTGGTGCCAGTGTAATCGCTCAGTATGCTCTGCATATCTGAGATAGCCAAGAAGAATCGCATTCGAATTGGTGTCGAATCAAACACATGCGTATCTCTATTTGACGACTTCTTAATCATGCAGCACTCACCATTATTTTCTGAGTCCTCAACCTCTTTCTAACCACATATCATCACGCCTCGACGACCGATAAAGGCGTCACCCCAATTGCAAACAGGAGCTTGCGTCAATCATTACCGACCATCACTTACTACAAATTTACGACGCTACGTTTACCCGCAAGGAGGAAATTAAGTCATAATATACAAAGTTGGGGTCTTGGTTTATGGGAGACTGCTGCTCTAATGGGGCTTTACATCTTGAGGAAGGACAGGCGGCTGATATGTGGAGTGAGAGGGGAAAGAGGTCTCTGAAGACCATGCTGAGACTTACATTTTCGAGGAGTTTTCAACTTTGGATTTTTTGTGGGCGCCAAGACTAAGATTTCGGCTAATTAGCCAGGAGGGCCTCTATTGTCAATGAGTCAACGGCACTCCCCAGCGCCCTGGACGGCACGAAAGAAGCTAGGCTAAGCTACCACACAGCAATCACGCCCTATCAAGACTTTTCTGACAATTCACCACGACCTTCGGGAAGGAGTTGGAAGGAGGCTAGAAAGGCAGAGCGTAAATTTCCCGAGGTACCCACAAGTCTGCAGCGCCCAGCTGGCCGGCCTCTTTGAACGCTTCGGAAGGATCACTATGTCTTCGGATTTAGTCCTAATGCCGGTATGAAGAGGGCTTCGTACCCAGTGGTGTTTGCGATTTTTCCCGGCTGCCATACACCCGTAAATGGTAATCATTCCGTTGGCTGGAGATGGGAGGTAACGAAGTACAAAGGGCTTCTTTGATTGTACGATCGAATGAGGGTTTGCGAGGGGGGATATGGTTTGACGGGAGCTGTATGGGGGGATAAGAGAGGATATACTACTGGTATAGGTCTCCTTGGCCTGTAGGCAGAGAGGACCTGCATGTCCTACATAGTCATAGACTCAGACAGGACAATAAAATGAATTAATATGGATCCCCTATATGGGCCAGAACTGGACCGACAGGCGACATCCCTGAATTAATACTCACGCCACTCAGAATGTCCAAAGGAAATTCCTAAAGATCACTACGGGGGCATACCAGTCGACCAGTAGTAGAATGCTGGAGCATGCAACGTCAAATCTCTTAATACAGATCTACCCTAAACAAAGGCGGTTTCAATATACCGGGCTATCCAATAACCTACCTATCCAACAGACTATTTCAACTGCACGCAGAAAAATCAAATATTTTGATGAAGAAAATTTAAATAAACGCGATCAAAATAGGAAAGATGATATAGCGGAATGGACCTTAATCTGCAGCAACATCGAGTCTAAAACAGGACATAAAGTAGCCGGTAAGAATGCCGCGTTCAAGGAATGGTCAGAATCGTGGACGAGCCAGAAGGAGCGACACTTGGGACCCCGAGCGCAAGCCAATCCGGATAAGTGGAATGCTGCAAACTTATACAACGACAAGAAAACAGGTAGACTTATGATGAACTATAAAGAGTCACCCATCCAAATCCACCAAAACCTTAGCAGGGCCCAGAGTAGCATTGCCACACAAGTAAGAAGCGAGCACATTGGGCTCAATGCTTACTTATACAGAAGGAACTTGCCAGGAGTAGGAAAACCATGCTGACAATGTGGATATCCGTCCCAAAATATAAAGCACATGGTGATGTCTTGTCCAAGATGGGCAAAGGGAAGAGGTGAGCTGCTACGAAAATCGACAACTCGATCTTTCGAAGCTATGGTAAATAACGTCAAATATATGACTAGAATTGCACAGTGGATTCAAAAGGAAGGATGGCTAGAGCAGTTTCGGATGACCGGGGAAATCGAGGCGTTAATCAGGCGAAGAGAGGAAAATGGAACACAGGACAAGGACGGAATCCACACTGGCAACAACAGTGTGAGTGCACTTCCTAGAGGTAAGACTATAATCGCGCAGAGTCAAGTCAGTCAGCTAAGGGATTTTTACCGCAAGGTTTCCTCCTATGTAAATATTAGAGTTCGTAGACACCTGCATGCGCCCATAGGGCGCCAAATCGGGCTAAATGAAATCAAATTCAAAATCGTCGTCAATCAAAACTTCTCTCAAACGATTGAGCCCCACAGAATTACTGGCTTTTGATACCAACCTCAATCTATATATCTTAATTTTATCAACATCAACCTATCACCACATATCATATTATACCTTTAACTACGATGAATTACATCAAGAGGTCAACAATTCACAGCAATAGTGGGCGGAACTATCCTGCGCTAATAGGTATCCCTAGATTAATCTACATGTATGGTAGTAGGGTAAATCTGAGCTAGGTGGGACTAGCCCACTGTCTCCCGTGGTGCATCCATACGGGGCTAAAACGAAAAATTACTACTTGGGCAACAACATGATATCACATTCCATCTACGCTAAGTTATGACAAATTAAAAGAATCCTGTTCTATTTGAATCTTTTGGCAACTGTAGTGTATTTTGCCTAGTGAGAGAAGAGTAATATCTTACTAGATTTAATTAAATTAATACCAACTCAAATTTCAAATATGCATCTGAGAAGGCTACTTATAGTAGCGCCTTGCTCCCTATTCTCCATCCTCAGCTTTCGTCTCAGCATCCAGTGCCTCTGCTTCAGCTTCATCCTTTGATTTCTTTCCTGAAGCTTTGGTTGAAGCAGGCTTGGCTCCTTCATCTTCATCTTCAGCTTTTGTCTCGGCGTCTATTGCTTCGGCCTCAGCGTCTTTGTCTGCTTTTTTCTTGTCTGAGGTCAAGGGACTGGCAGATTTTGCTCCCGTGTCCTCATCTTCAGCTTTTGTCTCCGCATCCAGTGCCTCTGCTTCAGCTTCCTCCTTTGATTTCTTTCCTGAAGCTTTGGTTGAAGCAGGTTTGGCTCCTTCATCTTCATCTTCAGCTTTTGTCTCGGCGTCTATTGCTTCGGCCTCAGCGTCTTTGTCTGCTTTTTTCTTGTCTGAGGTCAAGGGACTGGCAGATTTTGCTCCCGTGTCCTCATCTTCAGCTTTTGTCTCCGCATCCAGTGCCTCTGCTTCAGCTTCCTCCTTTGATTTCTTTCCTGAAGCTTTGGTTGAAGCAGGTTTGGCTCCTTCATCTTCATCTTCAGCTTTTGTCTCGGCGTCTATTGCTTCGGCCTCAGCGTCTTTGTCTGCTTTTTTCTTATCCGAAGTTAGTGGGGTAGAAGCTTCATTTTCGGCTTGTTCATCCTTGGTTGCAGATCCGATCTTCTCAAGCTCTGCGATGGCTGCTGCTGCTGCTGCGTCATCTTCGGCGTTTCTCTTGGCCAGAGCTCGGGCAAAGTGACGCTTGGACAAGTTGTACTCAATAGCACGCTTCTTGGCAGCCGGGCTTTGCGTCACTGCTACCGATCCTCCAAATGGGCCTGCTGCTGCTGCATTTTGCATGCGAACAATGCATACGTTCTGAGCGTCGCCTACTGTTCCAGAGCATGTCATTCCCGCTGGCATCTGTACTTCTACCGGAAAGTCCATCACGGCCGCGGCTGACAGTCCTCCAATACCGATTCCCGGCACATTTTGTGTTACTTCGGCCGATTTGAATGCCGCTGGGTCAGTTCCACCCGAAGTGGCGTCAACCATGGCCGTTAATGGCCCGGCTCCGTCTTGGTTGATTTGGTGGTAGGTCATCTTGACCTTGCCGTCGTCCGAGCAAGTCGGCATGCCGCTGGATGCTCCAGCTCCAGCTGCAGCCTTGACACCAGTCTCCAAGGTGCCCTTAGGAGTCTTGGTTCCTCCGTTGGCTGCACGCTCTCCAAGACTTCGACGAAGGACGTTGGCTGCGTGAACTTCCCGTGCTTCCTTTGTCGCCGTAGCATTGCCGCCGCCTCCCATGAACATGGCCATCATCTTGCTGGCGTCGACGGGACCACCGCCCTGAGTGCGACCAAGTGCAGTGGCCTTGCTGGTGCCCATCTCACGTTTACGGATGATAGAAGTATCAGCCTCAGATCCGCAGCGAGGACTGGCGCAATCACGCGGCGTGCCGTCGGCAACTGTAGTATTCGTGTCAGAAGCGACTCAAAGTGGGTGTACGACAGGGACAAAGACATAAACATGGATATGGATAGGGGCTTGGGCAGGGACAGTGACAGTGACAAGGTCAAGGTCAAGGTCAATGTCAACAACGATGACAGGGATAGGGATCGTGGCGAGTCACATACCTGAGAGACCCGGCATAGTAACGTCATTGGCGCCAACGACTGAATCAACTACTCCGTGGGTAAATACACTAGTAACTGCGAAAGCAGCAATGAGGATAGTTGATGAATATTGCATGTTGATATTATGTTCTGATAATTAAGGGTGAAGATTGACTGATTTGTTTGTAATTTAATATTAGCAGCGCCGGGCTGTAAGGTGAAGATATTGATTGAAAGATAAAAAGTGAAATAGATCACAATGTTGGATAATGAGGAAAGTTGATAACCCGGCCCTTATTATATCCTTCAGAATTGTCCTATAATGAGGGTAATGGCTAGTCTTTCCTTCATGCATGAACCTTGACTCAATAATTGGATAAGATGCATGATTGGAAAGCTCAAACAGTGCATGTCACATGTAATGAAGCGGTATTTGTCAGGGGATTGATGAAAAGAGCAATGATATCTAAAGACGTTAGCCTGTCTGGAACGGACCGTGAAACATATTGAGAAGCTGATGTGCTGATTTATACTGATATTATTGGCTAGCTATCTGATTATATAATTTTTCATCAGTGGTGTGATGATTGACTTGACGACATATGCTATTCTTTGATGTTGTGGTTGGTTTCTGTGACGAGAATGGTCCGATAAGTATTGCGGGTAAGTTTGAAATTTAAGGCAAGGACTCTGATTAGCCTCAAATTACCAGGCTATGAATTCTACTGATTTTTATATTAACAACTAATGAATTTTAGTGTAGTTACCGTTGTTTAGGGTATACTGTGAAGTTTACCGGCACACACTAGTCTCTATTGGCGGGGCGGTTATCCGATAAGACACAGGAGCTTCCTAAGATTCTATCAGACCGGGGTATGCTACTTTTGGCTTAGCTCATGTGGAGAACGAACTAATCCTTGAACCGTAACAAATTCCAACATATGAACTCCGTAGTTCCGAGTAGAAGTCAAGGCTGTACATATCCCTGTTGGTTTTACCACCCGAGACAGTAGGCTGTATGTACATGTTGATCATATTGAATGAATGACTTGTCGTCACATTTTTCATGAACGGCACTGTTTCACGGCAAGGCATGTACCGAGCTAACCGCGAGGAGCTCTATTTTCAGTCTCTCTGGCCATAAAGAAAACTAGTATTACTTTAGAGCCCTGGTTAAATTAATTGTGTGATATGAATAAACCTATCCAATGAACAAAAAGATGGTCTGACATGATTTTCTGTTTCACGCGAATTATTAAGAAAATCCCGCTTCCAAGCTTTGTCGTTACATAGGTGACATGAGAATCTAAAAATCTAAGGGTAGTGCGATTCGAGCACGATATTCGGATTGATTCATGCACAGAAGAAAGAGCTACACCCTTGAAGTAGCATGCATCTCAAGTGCAGTGATCGTTTCAGAGCTCCGGCTCGAGGTTCAAAAATCGGTTTAATGCCAAGGCACTAAAAGTTTGAAACTATGACCAGAAACACTCTTCTCCATCATGAGTAAAGCCACTAATACTAGTTGGGTTCTTATTGGTACAATCAGGGACTACTATTCAATACTGTGTCATAGCTAGATAGCTACATACGCAATTAAAATCTGATGCAAAAAAAAAATCAGGGACTAACTATGTCCAGAATGCATCGCAGGTCTGGTCATCGCGCAACACTACTTACCCATAGATACTTGAGTTGTTATTAGACTGCCACAATTTTTTCGGATTAAACGACTCTCCACATCTTTTCAGATTAGCAGTCCTCCATAGTCGTAGATTCAGTAGGGCCATAAATTTAACTCAATTCTTGTTGGATGAGTTATGTATCACGTACGTGACAAATAGATGCAAAGACAACTTGATGTATATAGATTCAATGTTAATCTATTCTAGTTGGCTGAGCCAATATCTAACTTTTTTTTTAATCATTTAATGTGTATGCAGCTATAAAGCTATGACACATGACCGGTACTGTGTATACATGTTGGATGACTCTTTTGACGTTAGAGACACTCATACTCTGGATTTCATTCGCAAATACCACTATGAGGTATGCTTGCTTACACAAACAGTCGACCTTCCTCCGTTAGTACCCTCCAAAGGGAATTTAAAAACCTTTGGTTATCCAAGCATGCCTTCGTCATCCATGCATACCAGCGCCGCGAGAAATGTGATTGTGTTTTGCCGGATTCGAACCAGCGATCTACTGTCTCAAGTGGGATATGTGTCCAAGCTATCCAGACTCTACTTGGCAGACCGGCCAAGACGATGTAGCACCGCACCATCCAACCATGGCGGTGTTTATAGTGTCGCCTGCACTCTCGCAACCGAAGTCTTGGCACGCACAAAGCTCAATTTGTAAAAACTCCTTTCCAAATTTCAAAATTCCATGCCCGTCGAGACTGTATCCATCCTTCGCATCATCTTGTGAACTTTTCCTAAATCCTCTCACGTCCATCCCAAAGAACAGTCTCCCAGATTTGTGCGCCACGCTTTGTGTCCTCCGTCGGGTGTAAATATCGGCGTGGGCGTGTATTTGGTGACAGGCTGAGGCCAGAGAAGGTGGCCAAAGGGGTGTGGTCATTGGAATGATGATATACTAGGTCGTACTTGTAAACTTGATGAGGCTTAGGTAGGATTCTATCTTTTTTGGAATGAAAATTTGACGTGGTGGAGTTATTTGAATCATTGCCTCGTGGGCCAACTTGTTCGGTATTGCGAAATTTGACTTAACTTGGCTCTGGGAGAATATTTCATTCCCAGGTTCGTAGAGAGCACCACTGACAGGTGTTCAGTCTTGCCCTCCTCAATATCTAACTGCTAGTACGCGTGCGCGTCTAGCTTACGTGAGCTAACTGATCATCTATTCTCCAGTATTCCGCCGACACTTCGACATTGTGGATAGCGACGATTCTACATGTTGAAAAAATTGTATGATTTAATTAAAATATTATCAATGATATTCAAGCTTTCTAGTTAGCTCTAAAAGTTATTTATTTCCATCGACTTAGTAGAAAAAATAATGAAATTTAATTCAATTCTGGCTTAAGGTCTTCACCAGGTCAAACTGCGATCTTATAAGTATGCTTTGGTTATGAAGGGACGAATTATATAAGCTAAGAGGCCAGACTACTGTCACAGATAAGAAAACAGGCAGAAAAAAAGTAAAATACAGTAATACACCCTCAAATATACATCGAAGTTGTTCCCTGGTATAGTTTGAATGACGTAGGCACCTACTCCATTTAGGAATGAGACGCCTCAGACCACATTTCGCGCGGAGAAAATTCAATGCAAGATGGAAATACATCTGGGTAACTCAAGGTTTTTGAGACATTTTCCTGTGTGTATATTCACGGATGAGGGTTATCTTGGGGTGAGGAAAAAGCCGGCATAAATTCGCAGTGGTACCTGCAAATGAAATCCGAGGCATGAGTGCTCTTCCTTTAAATTGAGTCATCTATTATAAACTTCTCTGATATTGTGTCATAGCTAGATAGCTGTATACTTAATTCAAATATGATGCAAAAATAAATACACCAGAACCTTAACATTGCCCAAAGCTGTATAGTAGTTTAGATAAGAAGTGAGGATATAGGTCTCAATTTGTATCTGTATGGAACGAAATTCCCCGCAGTGATTAACCCAAAATACCAGTGTGGATATCCGTCACAAAATGTGAAACATATGGTCTTGGCATGTCCTCAGTGGGCTAGGTGGAGAGGAGAGATGCTTTGACCGGCAAAAGATAGGGCTTTTGAAGCCATCATAAATAGCTTTGATGTTATGTAGAGAATTCCGAATTAGATCCTGGCAAGAGGCTGGTTTCAAATATTCCGGATTGTAGAAGAAGTTGAGATAGCAATGGACGAAAAGATAGAACGATGTGAATAAAGATAAGACGGGATTCACACTGTATAAACAGTGTAAACACACTTCCTGCAGGAAACCCCAAGAATATCAGCAGACATAACATAGATAATTTTGGGGGGTTTAACCGAATTAGTTTTTTTCAGTAAATATATTAGCTAGATGTACCTGCATGGGCCCATAAGGTACCTGAACAGGCTAAATGAAATCATCACAACATCTGGCTAAAGCCTTACAACTAGGAGACTTAACACCGCTGTTGCTGCCGATTAACTCAGTCCTTCCACTTCGAGAAGCTGCATTTCGCAAGAATATAACATGAAAAGTAATAATACCCGTAAAATATTTAACGGCCCTGAGTTAACGACTTATATTTTTCAAGCTTTCGTCGTGAGGAATGGATGGAATTTGTGTTAATTGTGCTATTTATGTAAGAGACCATCTGGCACATAGGGCTCCTCTCGGACCCAAGCCGCGACTTGTACAGTGCTCCTTGCCTCTTATGTTACTTGTAAGATCATCGAAATATTCCCCTTGATGAATAGCCATTCAGGTCAGTATTTACCCGTAGAATTCAGCCACCTTTTCCACGGAGTGTGAGTGTTTGTTTTTATTGTACTACTCCTTTTCCACGGAAACTTCTACCCAAAAGAAGAAAAAAAAAAAAAAAAAAGGTAGCAATGTATACTGCGTGCGCGAGAAAAAGTCTCAAAAAACTTGCAGCCCCAGCCAGGCAAGGCCTAGACACCATAGCTGAATACAATATGATTTAAAAAAAAAAGGCCTAGACACCGGGACTACATGAGGTGCGCATATTCATCTATATCTCCCCTCTTTGTAACATTCAGGTCGACTTGATCCAATCAGCCATCTCCGTATCTGATGCTGGGTACTCTCCGGAAACTCATCGGATGGCTTTTCCTCCATGGTCAAGGATACATTTCCGATAACACACAAGACAATCAAGACGACGATATTGATGCTGGAAATGAGGATAGATAATGTGTTAGAAATTGTCAAGGATTTCTAGGAGGAAATATCTCGAAGAACAAGTGTAAAATTTCGGACAAGAATTTATTGATAGTTGTATGTGATATCGAACTCTCTTCTCAATATGAATTAATAATATATAATGCTCCGTTAACTTAATTTTACATATACAGATGAGTCTGTCCTTAAATACAGATCCCGAACTCCCAGTGATCTAGCAACAACCAGCCACTCAATTATCGCAAGGTAGCATTTCCTAGCCACTGCATTCCAGATG